TTATTAGTGGTGATTTGGTGACCACTTTGTCACTCAATCCTTTAGAAACACTGATTTTGTATGGATTTATAAGTATCCTCATGATCAAAGAAAAGGGGGTGGCCAAACTAAAAGACCTTTTCCACATTAATGTGAAAGGGGGTTGAATTGGACAAATCGAGATAAATTTAGGTAAACAGATGGAAATTGGAGGTGAAATGGACGAGTACAAGTTTATCGAAGAAAACGCAAAACGGAGTAAGATGCTACTAAATGCAACATTCCTTTATGAATAAAGTACTTGTGGATTGCCGGGAGGCAAGCTTTCTCTTACTAAGTTTACTCCGGTTTTCAAGTCAATAAATTTATCTTCGAATAAGCTGTATACCGCCGTTGAGAAGACGAACGAGAGCAAAAACAACAAGAATTGAAGTGCGAAATCAGCATAATGGACTCTTGATGATCTGATTGCGGCGCCTCCATAATTAGTGACCTGAGTTCATTTTCAACTTAATGCCAATTACTGTTTCATGATTCTAAACTTGGATTAGTATTGATCGATTGGGAAATAAGGCACTCTATAGATCGTTAAATTGGGAGGAGGTTACAAATCCGGTAGATATCTTAATCTTTTCCACGAAAAAAAGTAATATAGATATAAAGTGTTTCTCTATTGGAAATGCGCAAATTGCGTTAAATTGGGAGGAGATCATAAATCTGTTCTAAGAAAAAACTTCTATAGATAGAAAGCCTTTCTCTATCGAAAATGCGCATCTGTCATGTATGTATATAGAATGGAATACATCGTTACAAAACAATTTGGGATAATGCGCATTTTCATCACGTGAAAATTCTGATACCCGAGCAATTAATGTAAAAATAATCTTTGTTAAAATGCTATTGCATATAAAGCAGTAAACTGCAGTGAAAGAAACGAAGGTGATTAAAACTGAGGATTACGCCTACGCTAAAAGTCTAGAAATTAATCTTCGTCAGAGGGTCATATAGATTTCGTATGAACCGTCCGAATTAGACTAAAGAGAGTGGGAAGACAGGACAAAAGGATGTTAAGCATGAAATAAATTGAGGAAGAGATGAGAACGGAAATGACAGGAGACACTGAGAAAGGGAATCAAATACTAATTTCCTTCATATTCTTTCTTTTAGCTTGATAGACTTAGGAAACAAGAAAAGGATTAGTAAGTATGTCCGTTTGGGATTTAAGCTGACTGTTTACACAATGCCATAAACGCTCTTGACAGGTAGAGAAACTACTTGAAAATGTTCATCCGTGTTGCTAGGCGACGTGCACACTTATAGGACAGGGAATAGACGTAAAAACAGAGCATGATGACTATGAAAAACAAACATTCGTCGTCTGCTGATAACCTAATACACTTGCCATGACTTTTGTAGATATCAGTAAGGACTGGGGGGATTGAAATGGAGCTCATGCTACATTACGATAAGAGAACATCTCAGTAAGGATATGTCCTACAACGGTTCACACAAAACGGTACGTTTACATACTGACCTACGTCAGTTCTTTTTTTGACCTAGACTCAAATATTAATGTTACGCTTCTTGAATAGCACTTTTTGTTTTGTTAGTAGGAGCATATAGAAATGACCAACTTATATATGAAGAGGGCGCTTGAATAAGTCAATGATTCATAAAAGGTGCCAAGGGAACGCTGCTTAGAGATCCAAGAAGATATAATAATTATGGATTCTACGACTACTCCGGTGGACTCTAATGTAGGAACTCTTTTTCACATCCTTCTATGGCCCCGTCATTATTCTAGGATATATTTCATAGATGACAGAGTTTATAATTAATTTATAATGTGAAAAGATGTTACCATATTTTTAAAGAATGTTTTAAGTTTCAGAAAATGTTACAAGCAAAAATATTGCGAAAATCTAGATTGCTCTTATTAGTTCATATAATAGCCTCAAGTGGACTCGGATCGACAGTAAGGTGTTTTGACTTCGTTCCATACCCTATACATCATCTTACTTTTGTGTCCTGTTAAATACTTATCTCTCCGAACAGGAAAGTAGTAACATGACTCATAATCAATCCTCAGACAAGTACTATCTTTGAAATATTCTCGGACAAGTAGTGTATATCTTATATTTGCTAACAAGTACTTGACATTTTTACAAATATTCTCTACAAGTACTTAATTTGTGTCTGAGCAATCTTGATGTTACATGAAAAACTTGATAGAATGATCGTCAGAAGTAGAACACCGGGCAATATCATTTCGACATAAGATGGCATCAATTTAAAAATACGAAATCGAAATTCAGTCACTGAGCCTTAATAAATAGATTCTCTTTCTGAGTGACACTACCTCCATGTTTCAGAAGGATTAGAGCAGGACTTCTCAAAGTCTGGTACAACCCAGGACGCTCTACTTCTTCTTTTTAAAGCTTCCTGCAATAAGATATAGACCTAAAACAAGCCTCATTTAATTCAGTATGACTAGTGTCATTAATGTAAATATTAGGAATACATTGTCTCAGTCTGAAACACAATTGAATAGTGTTTGCTTAGAGTTCGGCTCACCAGCAATGAATAGTACATTTCATATTCATTTTATGTACACGAATGACCGTAAGAATTTCGCGTGAATGGCATCCCATATTTCGGACCTTTTAGCATCATGGAAATTACATGTTGACCGTCAAGGAAGAGTTTGAGAGCCCTGGATAGGATTAGAGTTTTAAAATCGAGCGTTGGCAGAAAGAAACATGAAATCGATGTGTACATATTGATTAAGAAAATTACACTAGCTGCTCGTTTCTTTTTTTCGTGATTGAACGATAAGGAGGTTATAACTTTGTAACCCCTCACACACCGCCTAACCGATTCCATTCCTATACCCCCAAACCGAAGGGCAATTGATGTAATATGAAATGTTTAATTTGGTCTTTGTCGGTCTGGTATCAGTCTCGGTGATGTGACTGAGATTTTAACTGTAAGATTTACAGTATAAACCAGTTTCGTTAGTCGTAAGTACCATAGGTACAAATAGTTGTTTATTTTCATTCGACTGACATTATATTAATAAGCCTAATATGCTTCATGAAAGTAGCCGAAGAGAATATAAAGATGAATATTCTAACTAACGATAAATAGCGAACATCGCTTGCTATCACCATCGTATGGTGTGCTTACCATGGTGTGAAAAGGGTAATTGTGAACGGAGTTACTGTAACGTGGATTAGGCAAATCATTGTAATCACTGACATTCTGGTCACCTATATACAATATAATTGAAAAAAACCTCCATAAGCTAATCAAACGATGTGAGAAATATATAGAGAGAGAGAGAGAAAGATAAACAATATAATTATAGACAATACAATATAATTGAAAAAAACCTCCATAAGCTAATCAAACGATGTGAGATATATATATATATATATATATAGAGAGAGAGAGAGAGAGAGAGAGAGAAAGGTGCAGACAGACATTGCAGAAGTATACATATAAACATACCCGTATAGAAGCAGAGGAGGGGGGGGGGGGGGTAGTTTAGAAATCTATTCTAATTATGGAAGTCAATTTGGAGATACAGAAGCTCATGGTTGGTGGTGATTCTCAGCATAATAATTAACGATTTTATTCTGCACATCACAGTGGGCACGAGGAGGTGTGGATTAAGAAGGAAAATATATGTACAGAGAGAAGTTAGAAGTAGAATTACAAATGCGTTATTACATCTCATTCCGATTTATTTTAAGTATACAGGTATAGTTTAACTGTAATTCGATAACATTGCCCCAATATCTAAGCAAGTATTTTTCATTTAAGCTAATACCCCCCTTCACATACACGGATTTTTTTTTACGAGTCCTTACGGATCGCACAAATTCACGGATCTTTCACGGATCCTTACGATTTGGCCACTTTTACGACCGGTTTAAAAGTTATTACGAGCTTTTTGTGGGTTATTACGGATTTTTACGAATTATTACGATGTTTTTTACGGCAACAGTCCACGATTTGTTATGAGTTGTTACGGATAACTAAGAGTAACTAACGTGTTAGTTACGATCTGTTTACGTGTCCTTACGATTTTTAGCCAAAAAAATAACAACTGAAAATGAAGCGTTCGAATTTGCAGCTTTTATACCTTTCCCCAGTTCGTAAACAGTTCGTAAGCATATGTAAAGTATACGTATCTATTCGTAAAGTACTCTTAACTACATCTAAAAATGCTCGTAATAACCCGTATCAATCCATAACGCCATCGTAAAATGACCCGAATAAAATCGTAAACAACACGTAAGCACACGTAACCATCCGTAAACAACACGTAAGCACACGTAACCATCCGTAAACTGCTCGCAATAATTCGTAAATAATCCGTAAACAAATTGTAAACTAACCGTAACGAATCGTTACAAAAATCTGTTACGAGTCATTTACGGATTCTTGCGAGCAGTTTACGGATGGTCACGTGTTGTTGCGAGCGGTTTACGGATGATTACGGATTGTTACGAGCCATTTACGAGCTATTTACGGACAAATCAATCCGTGGACAATCGTAAGAAGATTTTTGACATGTCAAAAAAATTGCCTCTCCTTTCGCGGATGCTTAAGAGTGTCTACGAGTTGTTGTGAGTTGTAACGAGTTATTTACGGATATAAGCGAGTTATTTACGGATGCTTGCGATTGACTAATAATTGGCGATCCGTAAGGACTCGTAAGAAAAATCCGTGTATGTGAAGGGGGTATAAGAAATATATGAGTATTGTAATTGCTTTGTGATTGTGCTCGAGTTATTTACGGATGCTTGCGATTGACTACTAATTGGCGATCCGTAAGGACTCGTAAGCAAAATCCGTGTATGTGAAGGGGGTATAAGAAATTTTTGAGTATTGTAATTGCTTTGTGATTGTGCTCGCATGTAACAATGTTACATGACAACAGGACACTTCAGTTCGGTTGGTAAATATATTTACGTACATATAAACATCGATTTTGGTTGTCTCTTTATTTTCAGATCTGTGTCCTGTGCAATCACTTCGAAGTAGGGTTCTCGCCGACCTTTGACTACATATCAGCTGTTTTATACATGAGCACTACGACCATCAACCCACTCATGTATGGTCTCTTCAGAAGAAAATATCGGAGAAAAGTCTGGCGCAAGGTCGTGAAGTTATTATCTGCTTGTCGGCAAGGAAACCGAGTGCACCCTCATGTGGACATAGAAGGAAAGGAAGAGATTCCAGCCGTACAGGGAGATGGAACTGGTAGATCATCAGATACTTAAAGATAACTCCATCTTGTAGGAAAGGATGAGATTCCAGCCGTAGGGAGAGATGGTACTGGTAGATCATCAGAATACTGGACAATAACCAGCGGTAGCGGGAGATGGGACTGGTAGATCATCAGATACTGGACAATAACCAGCGGTAGCGGGAGATGGGACTTGTAGATCATCAGATACTGGACAATAACCAGCGGTAGCGGGAGATGGGACTGGTAGATCATCAGATACTGGACAATAACCAGCGGTAGCGGGAGATGGGACTGGTAGATCATCAGATACTGGACAATAACCAGCGGTAGCGGGAGATGGGACTGGTAGATCATCAGATTCTTGGCAATGACTCCATCTTGCTCATGATAGTGATTGAATACTGTTATGTCTCCCGTCATGCGATTCAACCAAATACAAAGAATTCATGTTATAAATCTACAACTCCTCGCGTTTCTCATGTCCTTTCAGAGCCGATTAACGTGGACGTAAAAGAGAGGAATTTGTAAAGTCATGAAGTAATTCGGTAAATGTATGAAACATATTTTACTTCAGGTGGTTAATTCCCTATAAAGTCATCGTATATGTTACTTTTAGTTTGTCTAACCACTTGATCCGAACCACTGGTGTATGTAGGGGGGGGGGGGGGGCTAATGGGCCACTTTGTACATCGGCTAGTTTGAACTATATACAGATAATTATGTTTAGATGATTAGAATACGTTATTCAAGGTGGGTATACATACTCAGAAATCATGGACATTTTCTCCAATGTTCATCGATCGGTCACAATGGGATGTCGTAAAACATCTCTCAAGTCAAACTTAAATATGAAACTAAGGGGATATTGGACTCAGATAACAGAATGGCGTTTTATCGCTCTAACCTAGCTAGAAATGTATTGAACTGTTCCTTATGAAACTACAAATGATGAAAATTAATTAAGGTAAATCAAAGTGTAAATTTGCGATAGTGACAAGGAGATAAATAAAAGGTAACCCTCGTTCCACTAAATAATATATAATAATATAAATACGCTCCCGATCCGTACTTTTCATCGCTATAGGAAACCTTTCCTCATTTACAAATTACTACATTATTAAAGTGGCATACGTTGCAAGGAACGAGGTATTTCATTCCTTGTACGATAACGATTAATTTTTCAGACATATGACTCTTTCATATCCAAAAATAAACTGCGTGTGACTTTCATAAAAAGGTTGGCTACCTCAGCATCCATTATCATTACATCAACTAAAGAATAATATTGTATTGGATTTGGAACAATCTTATACCCTAAGCAGCACCAGTGTTGTTTCTGCATTCTGTCCGTAAAAAAAAGTTACATAAAAGCTTTATTCTAGAAAATTGCCATATATTGTGAACGGTTCTGGATTGCAAACACTTTGCAGAAGCAACGATCCAGCGGAAGGACAATGCATGAAGTAATGTGATAATCTTGGGGATGGTTTCGACTTTTAGGTGCAGGGAGAGAGAAGAGTCAGTGTAGCATTGTTACAATAACTTAGAAATGTTGGGGACTAATTTATACATTTCATGATAGATTATTTTTTATTTTTTTAATTAAATTCCCAGTTAATGTGTCGAAATGTGTCAATTTTCATCATTATCTCCTGTTTTTTGTCCTCGCTCTAATTATTGAATGTTATCATGTATTAATGTATGATTTAAATAAAAGCTTGAGTGCTTGAAATTTATTTACTTATTTCTGTTTCTGTTTCTGTATAATCATTTTGTATAATTTTAAAATAATATAATTTCTGTTGAATTGGATCGAATACACATCACTAAAAAAAGGTGGGTGCGTGGATGGGTGGGAGAGAAAAATAGAGGGAGAAAGAGAGAGAGAGAGAGAGAGAGTGGGTAGAGATATATAGGCCTATACACGTCAATAGGGAAATAGGGCGGGATGGAGGAATACAGAAATAGAAAGGGGAATACAGACCCAATGAGTTATTAAGTGAAAGGAAAATAGGAAATAAAAGAGAAATTGTGAATAGAGTTAGCAAATATTAATCATAAAGGAGAAGATTGCTCTCTGGGGAGTCAAGTGGAGGAAACATTCATAAGCGAAACTGACGCTGACGGAATAAGAGGGAGTTAGAGAAAGAGAGAGGGAGAGATTAAGAGGGGAAGAAATGTAACTAGTCTATGAGGAGCACACATTGGTGGAGCAAGCCATACTTTGGTGGTATTTGTGTAGAAGACATGAATGTCTTAAATATCGGTTTCTTCGTTAAAGGGAATTCCTTTAAAAAAATCGTGGATTTAGCTCATGCTGCAATCATAATCATAAACCTTTAGGTCATACATGAATCCCATGACTTTTACAAGACAATCGCTTGTCTGATTCTCAAGATATCTATGATTCAAATTAGATATTTCAGAATTCGTTTTCCTAACGGTTTTTATAACACTACAGTCTACTAAGAAAAATGAGTATGGTATAACCGGTCACTCAAAGATTTTTACTTTTTGAGGCACTTCATGATCATTTTGAAACGCAATATTTTTAGGGCTTCAATATTAAATCATATCACAGACACTGATAACACGTAGGGCCATGCATCTCGGAGTAAACATTGTTAAACGATGCCTTTAATGAAAAAAAACAAATACATATTCAATGTTCAATGGCAGTATTCAATAACTCACCTATACTATAAGAACCATTATCATTCAAGCATGGCTAGTATTATATATGATTTAGGAGACCTAAGATGTACAGAAGTGATCCCGTCCTTTAGAAGACAGAGACCTTTTTCGAATTTTGTCTAATTATAGGAAGTGTGGTATTTGGCAACAGTACGTTTGCTGCTCCCTATTCTATAAAAAAGAAATCATTTGAAGATTTGTTTAATTCCACTATACAGTACTTTATTTTCTTTATATTTATGTTTCTTTTCAATTCGGTTTATAACTTATAATACTATTTAATACAATGTCTTTACTCTCATTTTCATCCACACACGTCCTCCTTGAAATGGAACATAAGAGGGCGACATATGATTTACAACAGTATTCGGCGTTGATCCATCGGAAGATATTTTCAGAACATCGTAAATCTGTGTATAATTACCCTCATTAGTATTAATACTGAAAGTCCTGATTTAATCAACGATGGAATTGCTCTAATAAAATGATAAGGCACAGTTTATGACCTCGCATGGTTGTAGACATACTCTATTGATATTAGCAAACGTACTCTCGTTGTAAGGTTTGTCCGCATCATGTACGAAACTGAAAGATACTACTTTACATGTTTATTTTTTACTAAGCACTGTTTAATGACAAGCGCGGTGTTCACAATTTCGATTTCGCCATTTTAGCCTTCAAGTGCAAACATTGCTGGTCAGATTCATTTGCTCGCCATGACTTTTAAAAGTGGAATTATTTCTTGCATCCGTTGCATTTTGGGGTTTATACTATTCACTAAAATGTGTGCCGCAGATACGTGTAAGTACAAGTATGGCACTCATTTTCGTTATTGTTAAGAGAATTTATTAATTGATAACATAAATAGTATAACGGGTACAACTTACCAAATCGTATATGTGTTCTCCGGTTTCTACATCTTGCGAGAGAGCAAATTAGGTAATCAAAAAATACACGGTATAATGGTAAAACGTTATCTCGTCAGGAAAGGACACTAGTCGACATATGGATCTATAAGATTACATATTCATACACTTCGCTGTCTGGATATGAAGGTAATCGAGCATGACACCCCCAAATATTTATCTGGTAACGCTTGCCCGAAAGCCGTTGGTTGGCATTCCTGGGGGGAAGGGGTGGGCTGCAAAATTTTATTAAAACTGATTTTATGGAAGGCATATTCTGGCAAGGTTTATCCAGTTTCTTTGTATATTCTGGGACGACAAGAGAGTTGTAGTCCTCCTCGAGCGGACGATCTCACTGAACGTAGTCTGTTGGGGTTGTAAGGGGAAGGAGAATGGTTACTAAAAAAGTTAAACATTAAGATAAGTTTCATTGACATATCTACGAATTCTTTGTTACAGCCTATGTTTGGTTAGCTGGTGATGCTAGTTCTAATCTGTCGTCCATAAACCAGACTGCTGAAGAAGATATTATTTGGATTTTAAATACAACGATCGGCCATAGGATCCGAATCTCCTTTCTAAATTTTGATTTCGAATCGGGCCAGACTTTCATGGACATTGGTGATGAGACTAACGTAGATGGAAAAAAAGTTCGTTTTAGGGACACATCAATTTACACACGATTAGCGAGCTTTAGTGGATCAGATCTACCGAGTGTTGTGACATCAGTAGGTAACACAGCATGGATAAAACTCCGTGTCGGCAGCCGAGAAGATTGGAAAAGGCACTTTGATATGACTGTCACATCCACCGATACACCAGGTAATAATACAAGTCAACCACTTGCAACATAGGTCTAAGCCCTACTTACTTGAATCAGATTTTGATTTTGATTATTATAGGCTAGCTATGCTGTCAATTTAAAAACTGTAGTGTAATATATTTTAATTTGTTTCATTTATTTACTCTAATGCTGATCAAATCCAAAAGTATTTCCCGGAAGACCCGGCAATGATAAAATTTGAATTATTTATTGTCACATTATTGTTTTAAAGAGGTATTGCAAAATTTCAAGAGAGTGAAAATATCCATGATAATTATTGTACATTATAATTCATTCTTACCTCATTCAATTTCTCATAGGGTGTAGATATCCGGAAGTTACTCTCCTAGTGGTAGTTCTCTGGTAATTCAAGGGTCGTCATAGAGAGAGAGAGAGAGACAGAGACAGAGAGAGAAAGAGAAAGAGAAAAAGGGGGAGAGAGAGAGAGAGACAGAGAGAGAGAGAGAGAGAACGTTCTTAATACCGCTTCTTTCTATTTTGAGCTCTATGTATTAATGTTAAGGATATTCATTTTCCATCAGATATAACGGAAGTAAAGGAGGATGAAATGACGTCGATCAAGTCAATGAGTTACCCGTCAAACTACCCAAACAACTTCTACCGTCTATGGGACATCCAGGCTCCTCAAGGCTTCGTCATCTCAGTCATCGTACGAGCATTCGACATCGAAACTGGGAACGACCACCTGTACATAGGTGATGGTGTTGATAGATTCACAAACCATGGAGAAGAATGGCAAGACTGGACAGGAAGGTTCCAGGATGAGGTATTAGCATTACGAGACTTCAGGTCGTCTACCAATTCAATCACGATGATTTTTACCACTGATCAAAGCACATCAAGATCAGGGTTCTGGATCCAGTTGCAGACTATAAAGATACCAGGTGAGCTTCACACCACATTTCACGTTTTCAAATAAAGTTAACAGTATTTTGACTTATTTTCATGTTATGTATTTAGAGAAAATGATAGGGTACCAGTTATTTCCCTAATATGCACATTTTAAATGGGGTCCCACATCTTCTATTATTTACTGTTAAATTCTTTATCTTTACAACATTACAAACCGTGAGAGGTGGGATACATAATTCCAATATGTTGAATCAAGATAATTTAAAATAACGTAGCATAACGTAACGAATAAAATGTAATAGCATCCTGTTCTTTATAGCTTTGAGGCAAGAGGAAAACGAAATGAA